CAATAATATTATACTTAAGAAACTACTCATTCATTATTCATAAATATATATATATGTATATATATATATATATACATCAAAGAAACTGAGAGATAAAAGTATTAATGAATAAATGTCTCTTATTTCGAATCTTTTCAGTGTGTGTGTGTGTGTTTTTTTTTCTTTTAGATAAAAAAAGTATATACTTCTTCTTTCAATCAATTATTATCCGTTATCATAAAAATATCGTCAATTTAAATAAGGAAGTTCTTCATAGTTTAGCAATTTAAAATGTGAAAACAAACCAACTCGTTATATATACATTTTTGATTGGAATTTTCTGCTTAATATTTCTTTTTTTTTTTATATTGACACAAACGGAATAAAGAGATCATTGTATTGGCACGTTTTTGGTACGTGTGCAAAGATCAGTAATGGTTAATAAAAGTCAACCGGTAACCAAATATAATAGGTTCCAGTCAAACGCAAATGGTCGATGGGGGAAGTAGGGGGTGTAAAGAGTATGTGGGCAGGGGGTTAGAGGGGGGAGGTTTCGGTTAAGAACTTTTTAAAGCGCATGCTTGCCTGTCCTGGCCACATTAACGTTTCAACATCGTAGTCAGCTTTTAAGTTAGATACAATACTTTCCCCATACTCTGTGTTATTTCTTTATCGTTACGTTCGTAAAAAAACCTATCCATAATAATAATAATAATAATTTCATTATTATTATCGAATATTATATTAATATTTTCTATTATTAATATAAAAATTGATCAAACGAAAATCATTGTGAATAAATTTGAATAGAAATTAATATTGATAGTATATTATAACCGGTTAAATAGATACACGTTAATAGATAGGTTTATAGATACTCTGAGGGGCAGAGAAATAGAATAAGGTCTCTTCAGTAACCACCCAGTTCGATCGATCGTAACATTGAATATTCCATACAAGTTTTTATTTATATATACGTATAATATATTATATTAAATATATAATAAAAGTTTATCCGATTAATTCAATTAATTCAATTGTGCGCGGTGCCGAAAATTTTCAATATATTTTTGAAGTTTATTTTTCTTTGTAATAATTCATTAATAAATATAATGGCTTTGAATATTCATATCGATTCACCGAAAGTTAAATATACCGAAGATTATATCGAATCGGAATACGAATATCAAACTGCGAATGTGTTAAAAGATGATACCGACAAGTATACGGTAAGTGTTTGTTAATCGATATTTAATTTAATTTCATTTATTTTCTATATCTCTTTTATTTCTATGTGCATTTTTTGTTTGTTTTATTTTATCGTTATACAAATGTTGAATAATTGTCAAATAAGATGATAATTGAATATGTTCAATTAATTATTATAATTTTTTAATCGAAAACAAATTTCTTTTTCAAAACCGAACCGATATATTCTAAACATATTTTTCACATATGCGAACGGCATATCGTAACTTATGTTAGGAGTGTGTTCTACTGGTTTTAACCTTCCCTAACTAGTTTCAGATGCTTTCGCACACATTTAAAAAAAAAGGTCCTTGAAGATCTTTTATTAGGACTAAGGTATACACTATATCAGTATTAAATGAGTTTGAGGTTTATTATCATTCGGATTAAAATTATATATCGTTGTTTTATAATTATTATTATTTTTTGTTCTCATATATAAATAAATATAATAATAATTTGTAAGATATTTTTATACGTTTACTTCACATTTTAAAACGTATTCTTTTAGTAAATGTACTACGAACGAATATATATATTCATTAATTGTTAGCGATAACGGGTTTTACAGATATCGTGCATATTTTTTATTTACGTGTAAAAGACAATTCATTATTTTAATATGAATATTTGGAAATATTTATGAGAGAATAATTTTATTAATTTATTTTTAAAGAAATGTTTTTAATTCCTTTCATTTTTTATAATAAAAAATGATTGTTTTGATCACGTGCATTAGCATATACGAAATGATTCACACATGTATATATATATATATAATAACGATTCTACGGTTAAATATTAACATAAATAAAATCTTTATCGAATTCATGCAATATTATTTTTCAATGTTACATGCAATTGCACATTTATATAAATATATATTTGATTTTATTTTTCATTGATTATTTAATATAATTTATTTAAGACAATTTGAAACGTTATATGATTTCAACAATACTTTTCTTAATTATATTGAAATTAATGTTTATCAATACTAACAAGCATAAAAACAATCAAATCAGAATAACAATAATTATATCATATTCCATTTTAATATATTTTTCAAACCGAAATAATTTTGAAAATGAATTTTATTCATACACACAACAAAATATTATATTACATTATTATTATATTTATTTTTAAACGTAGAATAACAATTTTCTTTGACACATAATATTTATCAATCACGCGTGTATAATAATATGGTTTATAATTACAGGTAAAACCAATAACGACGAAACTTTTAATAAGAACTCAAATAAAAGTACCGAAACTTGGTGTTATGTTAGTGGGTTTGGGTGGAAACAATGGTACAACCATAACAGCAGCCTTACTAGCAAACAAACATAAACTCACGTGGGAAACTAAAACTGGAATTAAAAAGGCCAATTGGTATATGATCAAATATATAATTAATTATATATATATAATTTATATATTGTTAAATAATAATTAATTAAAATTATATTTGTTATGTGAATTTTAGGTATGGTTCAATGCTTCAAGCATCTACAGTTAAATTAGGAAGTAAAAATAATCAAGATGTATTTGTACCAATGTCTTCACTGTTACCAATGGTTAATCCAAACGATATAGAAATTGATGGTTGGGATATTTCGAGTATGAATCTTGCTGATGCCATGGAACGTGCTGAAGTTATAGACATTAATTTACAAAAACAATTAAAACCTTATATGATCCATATGAAACCGAGAAAAAGTTTATATTATCCTGATTTTATTGCATCTAATCAAGTTAGTTAATATATTTATTTATTTATTTAAATATATTAATTTATAAGTATAGAAAAATATTTCTTATCTTTTTATTTTTATTTTGTTTCTATTTTTCTTTTTAGAAAGATAGAGCTGATAATGTTATACACGAAACAAAACTCGGACAATTGAATTTGATTAGAAAAGACATTGCGGAATTTAAAATGTCTAAAAATTTGGATCAAGTTATCATTTTGTGGACTGCGAATACCGAAAGATTTTCAACAATTAATCCAGGAATAAATGATACTGCTGACAATTTATTAAATGCTATTAACGAAAATCATCCTGAAATTAGTCCGAGTACAATGTTCGCAGTAGCAGCAGCATTGGAAGGGGTAACATTAAGAAAATAATTAATAATTAAATATAATTACACTATTATATAAAATTTTCAATATTATAATATATTAAACTTGAATATATTTTTTCTCTCAGTGCACTTATATAAACGGTTCACCGCAAAATACTTTTGTACCGGGTGCAATCGAATTGGCCGAAAGACAAGGAACATTTATCGGTGGTGATGATTTTAAATCTGGCCAAACTAAATTGAAATCAGTTCTCGTTGATTTTTTAGTATCAGCAGGTATAAAACCAGTTTCCATTGTAAGTTATAATCATCTTGGAAACAACGATGGTTATAATTTATCGGCTCCCCAACAATTTCGTTCTAAAGAGGTAAAAATTTGATTAAAAAAAACAAAATCAATTTAATTTTTGTTAAATTTGAAATAGATCAAACATAATTATATATTTTAGATTTCTAAAAGCAACGTGGTAGACGATATGGTTCAATCTAATCAAATTTTATACGAACCTGGTGAAAAACCAGATCACTGTGTCGTTATTAAATATGTTCCGTATGTTGGTAAGTTTTTACAAATAATATTATAATAATATTTTTATAATAATTTCGATTAATATATATTTTTTGATACGTAGGTGATAGCAAAAGGGCAATGGATGAATACATGTCAGAAATTATGCTTGGTGGTCATAATACTATAGTAGTACATAATACTTGTGAGGACTCTTTATTGGCAAGTCCAATCATTTTGGATTTGGTATTACTTGCTGAATTATGTTCTCGTATTACCTTCCGACATGAAAATGAAGGAGAAGAAAAATCACGACGTTTTGATAGTATTCTTTCTATCCTATCATATTTATTAAAAGCACCATTGGTACCAAAAGGTACACCTGTGATAAATGCATTATTCAGACAACGTGCTGCTATAGAAAATTTATTTAGAGCATGTCTTTCATTACCACCAGAAAATAATATGCTTTTGGAATATAAAATTAATTTAAGACAATCATAATATCATATGAATTTTTATGTTTTGCTAAAAAGTAAAGCATAGATATATATATATATATTATTATATTATTAAAAAACAATCTTGTCAAATTAATAAATATTATATTATTTTGGATATATATTCAGAAAGTATAAAGGTACTCTGTTTATCCGAATCCCGTTAATCCCAATTTCCGGTTTATTCGAAATAAAAAGAATTTTAAGGACTGCATTATTGACAATATATCATTATTCAAATCAAAATTTATAATATATGAAAAGATACATCTTTTACTTTGTATTCTTTTAATATTTTTTCATGTATAACAAAGTGAATAATAAAGGTACCTTTAATTAAATTAAATATTCTTTTTTTTTGTATACAATGTTATGTGGACCGGAAAGTAATGTCGTAATAATTCAAATTTTCAAATTTTTGGCTTTTCCGGTCCCCCTAATACAAACAATTGTTATAAACAAATAAGATATTACCGTATACCTTATTATTTAGTATCATCCTTTCAATAGATATAATTAAATGAAATAAATCTTATCATATAAATAAGAAATATGTAAATTATTGAATATCAATATTAAAAAATAATAATAAATATGTGTGTGCTTTTAGACAAAAAATTTTCGTAGAAATATTTAGTGATATTTGGTATTTAAAGGATGGTACACTTGCTAGTACTATATAACTAGTTACTAAATATATTTAAGGTTATATCAGGTAGATTCTATTACATTGTGTTTATTTTCATTTAATATCTTTTAAAATATATTTTAAAAATAAAACGTTATTAATATTTTTCTACTTGTAAATTAAATATTTCTTGTTTTTTTTTTTTCAGCATTCGTATGGTGTCATAAAAATATTTTCTATATAGATGCCAATGTTCTGAAAGAATTAACTTTAAAGATATATTTTGATCTTATTAAAATGAATAAATATCTACAATTGGCGACTGTAGGAACGAATTATGCTAATCGTATGAATCGTTTGAGTAATCGTATTTTTGGTGAAGTTGTTAGACCAACAAATCAAAAATCACTTAAAGTAGTACAACTTTTTAGTGAAAAGCCTGTTCAGAAAAGAAAAGAAATTGTAGATTATTATCCTCGACATAGAGATATACACAAATTGATGTTACATCTACGCGACTATGGTTTATTCAGAGATGAGCATGAAGATTTTAGAGAAGAATATGATCGTCTGAGAGAATTACGTGGTAAAAAGAAATGGGTACCACCACCTCTCAGAAAATAAAACTTTGTTTAGCCATCCCTTATAACATTAATAATGTAAACTATAAAAAAACAAAGTGTAATCAAATCTACTATTTATAATTAAAATAAATATAAAACTATATTAACTATATATAACAATTATAACATCCAAGATTTTAAAAACGACAAATAAAATCATCGTTTATTTATTATTATATAAATGATTTTTATTATTTATATATATCTAAATCAATTATAATAGAAATGGCACCTCTTTGAATTATTTACTATTACATTAGATGTATTTTTCACAGTTTACGAATTATCGTAATAAATTAAAATAATTTTCTTACAAAGTATGTATAAAAAAAAAAACTATATAAAAAATCTAATGTACATTTAATTATTATGTTACTTATATATTATAATTCTTCTTTTATATTATTATTATTATTACTTTCCGTTCCATCTTTTATATTAATATTTCTCTTTTCTTTTCTTTTTTCTTTTTTATTAATATTCTTTCTAGTATCACCTTTTTCTTTAAGACACGTATCATCCTGTCCCTTAAGAGCTCTATCTGTACACAAATATTTCATTAAAGGAACTTTTCCTTGATAATTATAATACCAATCCTCGATATCCTGTTCATGATTCTCTAGTAATTTTTCACATTGTGATTTTAATGTAGTAATTTCTACCGAAGGATTGTCCCACAATTCGTAAGGGATTCCTAATTCTACTTTGACACCTTTGTCTCTATACATATAAGAAAAAATTAATTTTATTATGAGAAAAATACATGAAATATACAAGGTGTCCTATAACTTTTTCGATTAAAATAAGAGTAGAATTAATGAAGAAGAGATATCATTATATCGAAAATGTTTGTAAACATATAAAGAAACACAGAAATGCCCTACGAAATAACAGAAAGTTAAACTAAAATATTTTTCATGTAAAATCATTCCTGTTCTCATCACTTATACAACTAGTCACAGAACACCTTGTATATTAACGTATTTTGTATACCTTTAATATATATACAGATATATACGAACTTTTATTTTAAATGATATATTTTTACTCACACTAATCCATGAAGGGTTTTAAATGTTTGACTCATTCCCTTCGCAAATCTTGTACTATCCGTTCGCTCTTTATGAATATTGTATTGTAATATACGTTCACAAATATTTTCCATTGATTCAACCAAACGTAATTCACTAAATATTGAGAAGAATAATTAATATAAATTATTTATATTTATCTCATTATTTAAATATATATATTATTAATACTTACGATTTTTTATATTCTTTTCTCTTTTTAGGAGCAATATCATCAACGGAATATCCAATTTCAAGTACATCATGCGTTTTTCCAGTTTCATCTAATCTTGCTTCTAATTCTGTAGCTACGACTTTACATGCTATACAAAAAAGATATAATAAAAAGAAATTAATATTGATTTATACAGAAACAAAAATTAAAATTATTAGCTGTATAAATGTGTATTCAATCAAAGAATACTTATGAACTGATACATGTTCATAAATGAAACAAACAATGATTGAACTATTAAAACATTTTAATCTACGTACTAATTTATATATTTTAATTTTATTATACATTTGTAAAATAATTGATGAAATAATAAAAGAATAAATAATATACCTTCACATTGATTAGCGTACTTAACTCCATGTTCTTCAAGTTCTTTACTAGCTAAACATGGTACGAAAAATACAAAATATGTGACGCAAAATAAAAGAAACATTTTAATATATCCTATTTTAATAAACATTATTCAAACTTAATAAAACAAAGAAAAATCAAATGACACGTTCCAAACATAGTTTGATTTAATACTGTATCTATCCACTTTAACTGTCATGAACAGTTAGGTTCAATTCTTTCCAAATCTTATCATTCGATTATCGATATTTACAATCAAAATCATTATTAGAATTTAAGCCAATCAGAAATAAAAGATTTTCGAAATATATTATATAAAACAATTGTTAAGTTAAATGGACAATAATAATTTGTATGTAAATATATAAATATTTAAATAAATTTATTACTATATATATATATTTTGACTTAATTTCAAGATAATTTTTAATGTACATCTTTAGAATATTATTTTAATATTTAATAAGTAATAGAATTATAATGACAATACAAAAATATTCTATTATTTATTGTATTATTTTTATTTTTGTACATCTAGGTATATATATAACAATCCAAGGCCGTCAGATGGAGTATCTGTATTATCATCTGCATTAGTTTGGCTGAAGATTCAGACTTATTTAATCGCAGATGTACGTTTATATATTTTCTCAAATATTCAAGAAACTTTTATCAGTATTACGTATTACTCTTATACGAAATTTTCTTTGTCATATTCATATTTATCTATTTTCTATTTCACAGAAATCGATATCACGAAGAAAAGGTGACACCATTGTCAAATTAACCGCAAACCCTAATTTTACTATCACTTATTAAAATGCGTATTGGCAAAAAACACATTGAAATATTAGGAAGTTGGTAAGTTTATTTAACTTAACAGTCAATAATTTTCGTTAATTATTTAATCTCAAAAGAAAATTATGTCAAATGTGTTTGTTAATAATCTAAGTTATGTAACATCACATATTGTATATTACCAAAACGTTTAATGAATTTTTATAAATATTTGAAGTATAATCTATTAATTTGAAATTCTTTATATTTCATTTCGTTATTACGAAATATTGATTTTAATATTTATTATGTGAAATTTGTTAGGATGCCATCTGTAATGGGATATGGAACAGCAGCAGGGCTTACTTTTCTTTATTTTACGGATTGGAAAGTAATTAATCGATATATTCCTTTTTATGGAGGAAAATTTGATGAATAAAATGTATTGTTATTTAATATCTGCTATATAGATGTAATAATTGTATTGCAAATTTGTGAAGTCATTTAATGACGAAGTTATTTGCTCTAATATATATACATGTATACTAATACAACAATGTATTATTTAGACTCACTTCTATATATTATATTAGCAAATTCTTCAGATTCTTTTAGTCTCTTGTTATTTACATACGGTATTAATTTTAATCTGTTGAAAAGAAATGAATTCATTAACCAACATTAATGGAATAAAGCAGTGATAGATCATTTTTTTATTTTAATATATTTATTTATATAATTAATTATTATTTAAAACTTACTTGATTCCTATGATAGAAAGATATATTCCTATAAACCCGATTCCAAATTTAATCATTTTCCCAGGTATCATCATCGTTGATACTTTCTGTATTAGACTGATAAAAAAAAGAAGATAAATGTAATTAATAAAATTATATAAACAGATATTGAATAATACTTTTAAATGATTATACAAATTTACTAAGTTATACAATTCTATAATGATATATATAAAATACTTTATAATACAATATATTTATAATGATTTACCTGTTTTTGTTTTTCACTACGAATATTTAATTCTTGCAATATTGGTGCCCAAATGTATAAACTGCTAACTACACCAAGTAGAGTAGCAAGAATAATTGTATCTATTCTCAAAGTTCTTCTAATCTTCATTACAGTTAACCTAAAAAGTAGTATTTATTTTTTATATATAACTTTGAAATATTGTCACTTTATTTTATTTCATATATTTTATTAATAAAATTATCTTATTACATACCGTACAAAAACTACTTGCAATATACGTAGGTTCTTTTTAAACCGTTGTTGCAGTGTGTTGATAATCCATTGGGTGTCTTATGGTTATCCTCCGAGTATCGGGTAAACTAAAATACGTAACTAATACGTCGGTAAAATATGGAATATTTGGTTTTATTTTTATATATTAATATTTCGAACATACGCCAAGCGACCACGTTAATCTTTACATTCACCAATTTCGGTCTTTCACGGTAACATATATATATATATATCTCGAATTAAATGTACAATTTTTATTTAAACATTTAAATCATTACAAATGGCTAGCTGAAATTTCCCGCGCAATTAATCGATTTATGAATTCATTGTATAGTAAGCTAGTGCTCTTATATGGACGTGCTGAATAACGAGAGATATCGAATTTAATACAATGGCGTTTAGTTTGGCCGCTTTTTCATATATTTTAGCTTTAATTGTGGATGCATTTTTAATATTTTTTGTAATATTTCATGTACGTTATACAATTTTATATATAACATATATTATGTCAGAAATATTTCTGAGTTAACTTAATCTTTTTAACTAATGTTATTTAATCACATAACCTATGGGAATTATTTTGATAACTTTCCTTTTTCTGAAATAAAATTGTTTTTATTAAATTTTACGATCTGTACTTTTTTTTTTTAGGTCATTGCATTTGATGAACTACAATCTGGACAGAAAAATCCAATTGATCAATGTAATAGTTTAAATCCGGTAAACTGTGTATACTTTATTATTATCTTATATGAAAATTTATTGTTATATTAAATTTATTCTTGTTTATTTCTCTCTCTTTCTTCATTTCAGCTTGTACTTCCAGAATATGCTCTACACGTTTTGATTAATTTTTTTTTTCTGATAAGTGAACAATGGTTTACATTATGTTTAAATATCCCATTAATAGCATATCATGTATGGAGATATACAAATAGACCTGTAATAACAGGACCTGGTTTATACGATCCAACTAGTATATTAAATGCACATGATTTAGCAATGTTTCAACGAGAAGGATGGGTGAAATTAGCCTTTTATCTTCTATCCTTTTTCTTTTATTTATATGGGTAAGTTTGTATATTTCATTTTATTTATATATAAATTATACAAATTTTTATAATTATATTAATAATTCAATGAATTTTTTGTAGTATGATAAGTTCATTGATTCAATGAAATCAGCATGCATAACATTATGCATAATTTTTTACTTTAATATTACAATGGCATTAAACAGCTTTTGTGCTACTCCGATGCTGGTTTCAACACGGATAATATCCTAAGTATAAGGAAAGTTACTTTCATTTTGTTAATAATAAACATTTTTTTAATAAAATTAAATAGAAATATATTATTTACTTTTCTATAATATTCTTATTGCATAGTAAATTTGTACTAATGAGATAAAATTTAAAACAAAAATCAAATCAGGTATATAACGAAGTAATAAATGTAATATTTAATAGATTAACTAAACATATATATTATCGATTTGAAATTCTAATTTAGATTGTAATTACATTTTAATTTAGATAATTAAATAATTATTCAAATAATTTTATTATGCAATTTAAATATGCATTTTTGTTTGAAGGGTTGTTTTAGTTTATTCCTGAAATTTCTAGATGGCGCAAACATTTCTTTACCATGGATCATTCTGTTACCAATGCAGTAAAAGCCCGTTAATTAATTGGACTCACCTGAAATAAATATTATTCATTTATTATAATCCAGGAGATAACTCATTCACTGTACAACACCATCTTCAAGACTGTTTTACAATGAGTTACCATTTTGACCAATGAGATTCGCGGATGACACCCCCACCAAAAACAAGACTTTTAATTTCAAACGGACAGTACATGCATCCATACATATATATATATGTATATGTATATATAGGTAATTCTTACAATAATACCACGTATGAGGATGATACAGGATGATACAGAAGGATATAGAATAATATTACAGTGAAGTGAATGTTAAAATTTTATAGACAAAAGTGTTTAGTATTAATGTATTTGTTGGTTTCGTTCAAATAATTTGTTCAATTACAAATTCAATTTGTTAAATATTTTTTCAATATTTCAACAGATTTAATTAATAAAAAGCATTGTATATATAAATTACGTTTCACGTAGCTCTCTAATTGTTGTACTATTAAAAAGATACATTCTAAAAAGAGTGATATAATATTAATTGATATATTATTTTCTAAGAAAACGATACATACAAGATGATTGTGTCTATAGAACAAAGGCTTTTTTTATTAAGTTTTTGTTTTATATTAATGCATACAAGTGCAGCACTTAACAAATATTCTGCCAAAGCTAATGAACCTAAAGTTGAAGATATTTTAGAATTTCCAACGTCATTAAGAGAATTAGATAAACCATTTCGAATGTCAAAATTAAATATAATATGGGTCAAAGCAAAAAATGTTAGTGTAAAAAGAAAACATTATGTTATTATCAGATAGAATAAAAGATTTGTTTTATTTTAAATAATTTATTGTGTGTGTGCTTTTTTGTAGCGTTTAACAGATCCTAAATTGCAATCGTTGTTTAGCGATTTAAAAATCCATGATAAAGAAGAAATAGCATATAAACATTATAAGGCTGATGGAAAGGATCCAGATGGTTTGGAAGGAGCTACATTGAGAAAGAAATTAATTGGTAATTTTATATATATCAAATATTTGTATGTTTCAAATATATAATATTGAAACAGAGTTACTATTATAATTTATAATATTTTGTTTTTAAGGAATTATGAGTACATATGGTTTGTTAGAATATTTTTCTGATACAGAAGATCCAATGTTACTTAAGAGACATAAAGCCCTTAATGATGGTAGCAATTATGTTGCCAAGGATGTGTTTAAAGATTCTAGATTAAATAAACTTTGGGCTAAAGCTGAATTAGCAGGCTTTACTCGTATGTATATTTTACAATGTGTTCATTGTAAATGGTAAAAATTATATTAGAAAAAAATCTTTACGATTGCATTTAATTATTTATTTCAGATGAAGAACTTAATGCATTAAAGGAAGAATTTGAACATCATCAAGATAAAGTAGAAGAATATATGAGCTTATTAAAAGATATAGAAGCTGGAGATTCTGAAATGCACGAAAGTTCGTATTTTTATAATGTATTAATATTCTTGTTTTATTTTCACGTTAATGTTTATTATTATATATTTTATATTAATATCTTACAGATAGTTTATTTGACAAGCCAGACAGTTGGAATGTGTTAGAAGAGGAAGAACAATTATCAAATAATAATGTACCTGGAAAAAAGTTGGATTATTTAGGAAAAGCGAATTTACTTAAGTGAGAATTTTCTAAAAAGATCATTATTTAACATCTATCAATTGATAATTCATTTTGTTATATTTATTTTAGAGAAAAACATTTGGAGCTTAGAAATGGGTATGATCGTTTAGATAGGCTAACAGCTAAAGGGCCTAATCATAAAGAATTTATTGAACCAAAAGTACAAGGACTTTGGAGAGTTGCATTAGAAGCCAAATTTTCACCCGATGAACTTGCTTCTCTTAAGGTTAATAAGATCAAAATGTTTTTTAATTTATTATTTACCTTTTCCAAAATAATACTATTGCTGATAAGTACTCTGACAATTTAACAAATTTCTTATTCTTTAGGAAGAACTTTTACATTACGAGTCACGATTACTCAAGTTAAGACATCTTCATACAGAAGCAGCTTTGGAAGCTGCACGCAAAGGAAAATCTTACGATTTGGATAATTCTACCTCGCAACAACATATAAAGAAACATGCTAGAACAGTTCAAAAGCTTCATACAGAACTTGAGACAAGAATCATGCAAAAACATACAGAGTTATAATTTTTATGAGATCTTTAAATAATTTCTACAATATTTCCTTTAATAATTATTTGAATAAATATCAATAAAAATATAGGTATATAATTAATAGAAGTACATATCTTTAATGTATTGTAAATTTTTTATTTTTAATATAGATACTCGTATATATATATATTGCAAATAACAATTTTTTAATACTTTTGTAGTGGTCGCTGTCCATTAACACATATAGCAATAATTGTAAAATTATTAACTATTGCAATAAACTATTCGAATTGTTATTATACAAATTTTAGCGTATAATAATTATATTTTTTATTATTATCATATCTAATTATGAAAATATAAATGTTAATATCAATTTGAAATGTGAATATATTTACTGTTATATCAATGTTTCTATGGAGATAATTTTCCTTAGCTATGTGCATTTGGTACCACATCGAAAAAGAGTTAAACATCGTAATCTTGATAATTACACTTATAAAAGTAAAGATTTAATTATATTATTATAATGGCAACATCAGTTAAAGAACGTATTGTTCCTGCTGTAGATACTCTTGTTAAATATGACAATCCTATTTTGGTTACAACTCATCCAGAAAAAGTAATAATAATGTTTTATATATTAATAAACATATTTTATATAATTTTTATACATTAAAAAAATATAATGTAAAATATATATTTTACGTATTTTCATATCAAGGTATATTAAATAAAATATTTAATATCACAATCTCATTTTTATCTAAGTTAAATTTTAATCAGGTACACAAAGAGCCAATGCTGGGTAAAGTAGGTTCTACTCTTTGTAAAGTTCAAACAACTCTTCCTACAGCTGATGTACGTCGTGAAACTGGTGAAATTTTAAATGGAATTTTACCGCCTAAAGAATGGGAAGAAGATGGACAAATTTGGACGCAGCAAGTATATAAAAATTTAATTATTATAACACTTTTCCATAATAAGTATATTATAATATTTATAAATTTATTTTACACAAGGTTTCAAGTACTCCTGCTACAAGATTGGATGTTATTAATCTACAAGAACAGCTTGATATGAAATTGCAACAGAGACAAGCAAGAGAAACTGGAATTTGTCCTGTACGCAGAGAACTTTATACGCAATGTTTTGGTACGTTTTTATTCTTTCAATTTATAGAAAAATAATGAAGTAATAACAAAAAATTTTTGTAGACGAATTGATACGACAAGTTACAATAAATTGTGCTGAGCGTGGTTTGCTATTACTGAGAGTAAGAGATGAAATCAAAATGACTCTGGCTGCTTATCAAACTTTATATCAGAGTAGTATTGCATTTGGAATGCGAAAAGCACTTCAGGTATACATTGTTTAATTATTACATTATTTAATTATTTATAATAACTATGTGTTATTATATTTTAGGCTGAACAAGGCAAAGAAGATTTAGTTGCAATTGCGGATGAATTACGACAACAAAAAATACAATTAGAAAATTCACTGACAGAATTGAGGCACAAATTTGATTTAACAGAAAGAAGATCTGCGGAATTAAGAGAAGCAGAAGAAAAGAAATACACGGAAGAAATTCAATTTCTGAAAAAAACGAATTTGCAATTGAAGGTATAGAATACATTATGATTATCATCTATTTCATATATGTTTATTATATTCGACTAATTATATTTTTTAGACTCAATTGGAGGGTATTATAGCGCCAAGAAAATAAATAATAACCATACCTACAATTATTTATGACACATTCATCATGATAAAATATTTACAAAGTCCAATTAGGACTCCATATGAAAATACGAGAACCCATCACTCGCATATGGTGGTTTCTTATGATTAATAGTCCTGCAGCACTTCCTGTGGTAATTTTTTCGATATCTTGAAAACGATTGAATACACCTGGGATGTGGTGTATTGTTCTAAACCCCTATACAACTAACTAAGACATCGTGGAATATATATATGACATTTTTAAAGATAAATATATTTAAAATTAATATATAACTATTTATATTATGATAAATACAAACTATTTTTTAATAAGTTTTTGTTCATCAATGATATACTGCGTTTACAAATTCGTTTATATAATATTATAAAATGTATATCGATTTTTTTTTATTAGAGAATACAATTAATGTTTTTTTTTTATAAATAAATATACTTTGATATAACTTACGTATTAATGAAATTTACTAATTTCTTCTCTTATTTTAAGCACTTAAAATAATAACTAATATTTAACTATAATCATACTTTATTTGTATAAATAAGTTGTGTTTAATTGTATCAATTTGTTAAAACAAAATATATAAAGTTTGACAAAAGTATTATTTTGAAATATCACGTTTACAAAAATTATAATTATTGTAGCATTTTTGTAAAAAGCTTATTAACAAATTCTCTGTTTGTTCCTTCTTAAAATATATTACTGTTAAATGATATTTTGTATATATTATAGGTGTCACTTTATTAAGTTGCTAGTTTTTTCATTATATAATTTAACTGCGATTAAAAAGAAAAATCATGATATTAATAAATCAAATGATATAAAATATAGAAATGTATATCATTAATTTCAGATCGTTTTTACATTATACATTTCAAAAATCAATTTCAATGTAAATATGAATAGCAAATTTATACAAAAAATCGCTTATTTCATAATGTAAGTACTTGAAGAAATGACAATTATTTTTATTTTTGAGATTCCACAGATGCACTGTTAATACTATTAAATTCCTTAATATGTATTATTGATAGATAATACGTATAATTCTATAGGCTCTTTCTTCTAAATTATTCTAGGTAAATTTTTAAGAATTGGCACTTAAACAATAATACAGTAAAAATTGTTCACTATTTTAAAATGTAATAATGAAGGAACAATACTCAGATTTACACTAAGTTCAATGATAAATGAATTTGTCATTGGTCCCTTATTCTTAATCGCACTTGCACTCATTATTCATATATTCATTATTTCTGTTATTTGCACGCACATTTTCGCTTATATTAATATTTGCATTAACATAAAATTATGTGGGATATCACCGACCTAAATAACTGAATTTAAAAATAATATGCATATATAAACAATATTAAATAATAATATTTCGGCTATAAAGATAATTTTACTTTATCTTTTTAACTGTTTCATTAATTATACAATTTATAGTAATAAGTAACGGTGTGTAAATAATACTAACGGTATTTTTATTCCAATCTAATAATGAACTTTATTAATATATATCAAATTCGAAGAATAATTAAATTAAAGAAATTTTATTTCAATAGATATATATATATATATTGTCCTGCTTTTCAATTATTAATATATGTTAATAAAAATACTGTTTTGAAAATATATTTATAAAACAATAGTAAGAAACATAAAAATATATCATATTTGTATAAATATAATTTACATAATTTAAATTATAAATTATTATTATGTATTTATTAGTCTTTACTAATAATACCTAAATATATATATATATAAAATCAAATTAAAGTTTGGAATAAAAATACTTGATATTAAGAATATCAAATCTATGAATATATAATTGTTATAATTCTTTTATATTAAATGTCAATTTCGTGTATATATATTTTGTGAAATTATTTTAAATGAACGCATATAATTTGTAAATATATAATCTACTTATATTATATCTAAATAAATAGAATACTTTATATATATAAATCACATTATATGATATATGATTTATAATCTTTTCTTTTTAACATTTTAAATTGATTACGTATATAATGAGCTTGAACATATTCAGGCATATGAGATGTGCAAAATTGAAGTTTGTTATATATCTATCTAATGACTGTAAATAAATACCACCACTAATACGAAATTCTTGCAATTATACATATATTATCAAATAAATAAGTTTAAGAAAATGTGTAGTTGCATTTAAACTATTTGGACCTGTAAATTTAGAATATGAATTTTGTATCAAAAATAAAGTAGGACTTTTATAGTTAATAACAGTGCATTAATCTGTTTCTTTATCATATCGCATTGATCTTTAACATATTTAAAAATGGAATGTACTACATTTGTAAATATAAAGAATAATATTAATATTTTAATATAATTGATTAATAACGAATAAATAATATTATTCTTTTATATAAATGATAACAAAAAAAAAAATTAATATCAATGCATTTGAAATATTATTTGCAAGCTTTAATTTGGTTTCTTTCATACATCTACATATATGCGTTTATTTCTTCTCAAACATTAATAAATTTCATTATTGATCTTTATATAACTCAAAATAATTAACTATAAATCAATATTTATGTTGTCAATATATATGCACATATTCTCATTGATTTATGTATATATTGTATACAAAGTACCCCTATAAAAATGCACCAGATTTTTTAAATCTAGATTGCTAATAAATTGTATACATATATAAGTATGTAATTACAATTAATAGTCATATAAAAAAGTAGCAAAAATTCCTTTTTTTTTTGTTTTTGGATTACATGAATATAATTTATCAACAATGAAAATACGTTTAAGTATGATCAATGCACCTAATGAATTACATTAACTTATTTTTGTAAATTCTTGGCATTTTATATTAACAGTGATACGTTTAAACAATACGTACCAATAAATATAATTGCAATGACATTTAATTATATACGCGCGATTAAAGTATATATATATATAATGGTATATTATAATAATAAAAAAAAAAAGAAAATGTTAAAGGCGCGCGTCTTAAAAAAAGATCGCATGATAATTTATACCAGAGATTCCTGAACTTATATATGTGATCAGAATTACAATAATAGCTTGGATCTTTAAATGATAAAAATTTCATGAAATTAAGTAATTTAATCGTATTATAGTCATGTTATAAATTAATCATATGAAAGATTATACATTAATAAGTCAGGAATCATTGGATCATATATATATGCAATGATCTAACTATATGAGATTAAGAAATTGTGTATATGAATTACTTGAAAAACAATATTATAATACAATAATTGTTATGTCTTTTCTTTTTAAGCAAACTTTTAAAAATTAATATTAATATTTTAGAGCCTTTTTTTTTTTATTTTACTCTCAATGCCGATTTTTTTTTCTACCTTGTTTTCGTTTCTTTTTCTTTGTCGTAGTAACAATAATATTTGTGTTTTGCTTGGATGAAGCACCTTCAGTTGCATTAGTTGAAATAAGAGAATCAGTTTTTTCTTGAAGCGTATCTGTGACAGAACGCTGACTTGCAAGTTCCTCATTTTCACTTTCAGCATCACTTGCTCCAGTGCCAGTTTTGCTTTCTATTTCATCTTCGGCATTACTTAATTCCAACGATATAATTTTCTCTCTCAAAGTTTCAACCTATTTATACATATACACATATATATATATACATATATATATATTGTAAAAAAAGTTGATGTATATATATTATTTTGGATTTTATACAAAAAATTAAATAGAACATCAAAATATAGTGGACAATAATAGCAACATTCTAAAATAGACATAAATTAAACACAAACAGATAATATTCTAAAAAAAAAAAAGAAAAAAAAAAGAAAAGAAAATCAAAAACGAGTATAACACATAAAACATTTAACATGTAAAACAATTTTGCATTTTTATCTTTATAAAAACAAAAAAAGAAAATAATATAAAATAATGCTAATAATTATTATAATAAGCATCTAAAAAGAAGAAACATATATGTTAATAATTAAATTAGTAAGGTGTTATGTAAGAAAACTAAAACGAGCATTACCAATAGTATATAAGAAGATTTTGTTAGTGAACTGTGGAAATGAAATCATTTGCTCAAGGTGGTGCAGGTTGCAAATCCAGTGTGAGAGTTGGTTTCTTGGAACAGCAAATAGAAATATTAACTACTGTTACCCCTCATGTTTTATATGCTTAAGCTTAAAACATTCAAAGGCATGCATGTGTAAGAAGATCATATGAATATTAAATTCAAACGTTTTCATATAGTTTGTCTATAGGCATATGATTCCAGTGAATATTTATCCTATTTTATTTATCTATCATCTACCTTTCGTTTTGATATTTGTAATAAAACATGATTGAAAAAGATAGTGCTCTAAAGATATTGTGCCCATCTCATTTTTGTCCAATGGTAGGTATATTTATGAAACAATCTGGTGCATGAATTCTGTGCTAAATTTAGAATCATAGTACCTGTCGCTCAATTAGCTTCTCGACGTATTCGACCGTTCGTACACGACGTTCACCTGTCACCTCATCCACATATTCTTCAGTACGGCGAGTGACCTTCTCGTCCACTACTTTCTCAGATTCACGTATTTCTTTAGGAGGACCCACTTTGCTGCGGACAGCAAGTTTAGGAAAATCTGCGCTAGACGGCCGTAACGTAGTGAACTATGATAGTAAGACAAACGAGATACCACTGTAGTAACATGACCATTGGTTCTCATAATTCAATTGTGTTAGACGGATGAGAGCACATATGAGTATAATTAGTAAATAACCAAGTTAATACACAACTAATGATACAGTTAAAGAGGTGTTAAATACTGCTTAAGAAGAAAGAGTTATTAGATACTGCAATTGTTAAAAGCTATCTCATTCCCAATGCTTACTTCGGTGATCTTTTCTTGATCAGAAACATGATAAGGATCTGCCCTATCTTCCAACATTTCAGCTTTATCCGTAGTATCCATCATTTCACTCATTTTTTTAATAACTATTTGAGCCTGAAGAGCATCCTATAAATCAAATTTTCTATTCAATGTATTTACAATGATATTACATATAACAAACGTTTATATACAATTTATAATTTTTAATAAAATATGAAAATCATTATATATATACGTAACATTATTATTATTATTATTTTTTATTATTATTATACCTGTTCAAGTGATTTTAAACGAGCTTGCCTCCATGCAGCGCGTTTTTCTGCTCGTAAGGCTCGTTGTTCAGCGGGAGTTAAATGGCTTTCTTCATCTTCATCCGAAATCAAGCCCTAAAGATTAAAAGAAAATAACGTATACTTTAAACATTGCTTTTTAATATAATACCCTATAATTTCTATAGAATAAATCAAATTTTAATCTTGATTATAATAATCG